AGCCTTGGGCAGCGCGGCCCTGTTACTCCGTTGTTGCTGGTGGGGGATGCGTGTGCTGCCTGGCGTTACAGGTGTGACCCAGCGGCCGTGCGCGGGCTCGGCAAGGGGAGGTCTGTGCCGGGTGAAACTTGGCATGGGGTTTCTGATGCTGCCAGCCCATCAACACTTGGCACGTCCGACCTGCAGCGGCCACTGCCTCGAGTTTCCGAGGAACACAAAATAGTTCTCCTGAGCCCCTACACGTGACGCTGCAGCATTTGGCACCGTGGGCAGGAAGTTTCAGAAATCCAAAAGCACAGAAAACCTCAAAAATGTAACCGGTGCACAACTTACACTGTGTCAGAAAACTTCTCCCTTTGGTTATTTCCCACCCTTTGTCCAGAAAGAACCTTACAGATGTTATTATTACTGAATGACTCTTGTTGGGTTTTTTTCAGTAGAACGTGTGCTGCCATCAGGATGCCTGAAGTAAGCACTGATCACCTGGATGAGCAGCAGGTGCAGCTCTTGGCAGAGATGTGCATCCTTATCGATGAAAACGATAACAAGATTGGAGCGGATACCAAGAAAAACTGTCACTTGAATGAAAACATTGATAAAGGTACAGCTTGCTTACCTTCTAATTGAACAATTAAGTTGATTGAATATTTTCAAGAATATAGTCATGATTAAATTAAAGCCTTAATCTCAGGTGGGTGTTGATCAAATGAGAGCAATTACTTCCCCAAGCCCACCTCTTCCCCCAGTGTACAATATCTAGTTTTAAAAATGCTGTAATGTGGAGGAACATGCAGTTGGAGGCAGAAGGAAAGGAGATAAATGTGTGATTGCAGATATAAGCTGTATGTCTTGATAAATATTTTTGAATCACATTTTGATAATAAAATAGTTTTATTTTCCTATTATGTGTAGCTTTTTTTAAAGAGTGTCCCTTGCTTCTGTGCTGAATTCTGTTCAAGGAGAAGAGACTTTGATTTTTAAGTAGTTCACACAGAGTTCTACTTGAGATACTGCTAATAGGAAAGGGGTTTTTTTGGTTTTGTCATTCTAATTGATTGTGGGTTTTATTTGAGGTTGGTCAGATTCGTGAGTCTTTCACAGTAGTTTGTGACCTCCTTTTCCATACTGAGGGGAAGCATCTTTCTGAAGAGTGAGGTATAACAAACTCAAAAGTTGCAGAAAACTGCAACTGTACTGTTTTTGGGGACATTTGTACTTACCTGGAGCTTCTTGAAATTCCATACAATTTTTAGAGGTTTTCGAGTCATCTTTTTGATAGTAAATTTGTGGATGCTGGACCTCTGTTAGCAGCTTGCTTACATGTGCATCTTCAGGATGGTGAACTGACCAGGTTGAGTACAACTCTTCTGTTGCATTGTTGTTCTCAGTGCTTTTCTAATTTCATAATGTTTTGCATAAGCTGACAGAGAAACCTCAATAGTAACTCAATGGTTTTTATCAAATCCTTGCTTTTCAATGTGTCTGAATTTTAAATTTTGGTTACCCAAAAATGAAGCCATTCAAAGCCCTTAAACTCTGTCTTCTATGTTTTTTTTCTCCTTTTAAGTAGCCCTCTGTGTTTTTATTTTAGGTTTACTGCACCGAGCTTTCAGTGTTTTCTTATTTAATTCAGAAAACAAACTGTTGCTGCAGCAGAGGTCAAATGCAAAAATTACATTTCCAGGTTAGTACTGAAATACATTGTTGTATTTATAAAAATGCTTTATTTAAATCAGTATTTTTAAAATGTGCCAGTCTAATTTTGCAGTGTAACTCATTCTGAGTTTTTAGAATTTATTTCTTTGGAGAAGAAACACTTTTAAGAGTTCGAGATACACTTATCTTCATCAAGATGCGCTTCATCTTGTGGATGAAGTAAGATAACAGCAACATTAGCTTATTGCTGTACATAGTCTTGGGAAATGATTGTTCCCTGACTTGTTTGGTCCTGTTGGTGCAAGTGCAGAGCGTGTGTTGTTTACCTCCTCTGCTGCAGGCTGATGTAGTGGAGTTGAAGCAATTGCTCTGGTGGCTGTGGAGAATGTTCTGGTTCCACTGGTGGGAAGGTGTAGTTGATGTACAGTGAAGCCCCACTGCTTGCAAGCGGTTGCACCGTGCTTCAGTGAGATATGTGGGCCTTTATCTGTGGCTTTAAGGACAGGAAAAGTGAGACTGCGTGGCCAGAGTACATAGGGCGTGAGTTTTGAAGACTCTTGAACTGTTACTATTAAATGCAAATGGAGAGGCATAAAAATAAGAAGTGGAATGAAAGAAACGAAGCTTACAGAAGACAAGTTTGTTGGAGGAAGCATAAAGCTGTCCATTTCAGAATTTCTGATGGAAAACAAATTCAGGTGTTTCTAACCCTCTTCAGCTCAGGGGAGAAAGACCTTTTTTTCCTTCCAAGGGAATCTTTAGGGATTTTATTTTTCCCTTGACCACTAACTAATCAAAGTGCTCAAGTGTAGTTTATGGGTAATCTGACTCTATTTTGGATGCCTTTGAGCTGGACTCTTATGGATAAAAGGTTGGCCAGTCACAGTTAGTCTACGTTACTACATTAAGTCATTTTTAATATACATGAAACAGAGTATAAAGGGTCTGTTCTTTAAACACAAGCATAAACTGCTTTTTTTATTTCTACTTATTGTCAACTGGTCTTGAAGCTCTGGGAGTATTTTCAATATCCTGTTGCATATAAACTTCTAAAAGTCATTTTAATTAGCGTTTGCAGGATAAACAATTGCTTTCCAAACTGGCTCTCCAGTAGATGCTATCTTGGGTAAGAGAATGCATGTGTTCATGTGTATCGAAACACTTAACCTGCAAAGTAGTACTTGGTCCAGGTAAATCTTGGTGCAAAATATGGAAAGAAAAATAATAGATGAAAATATCCTCCTTCCTCCCTGACCTTTATATGGAAAAGAGAAACAAAGCTGTGATGAGTAACCATCCTACCTCTCTGGGGTTTTTTGGTGGTGGGGTTTTTTTATCGTTGTTTTGTTTGGTTTCACTCTGGTTTTGTTTGTTTTATGTTGTGGTTTTTTGCAACGCTTTATACATGTCAAAAATGTACTGATACAAACTCCTTGCAGATTGTTTCACCAACACTTGTTGCAGTCATCCTCTAAGCCACCCACTAGAGCTGGAAGAAAATAATGCCATTGGTGTTCGAAGAGCAGCACAGAGACGACTGAAAGCCGAGTTAGGAATTCCCATGGAGCAGGTAAAGGAAGGAAGAAGAAATGGGAATTGTTGCCAGTGTTTGCCAATTTACAGGCTAACTGCATCTGGCAGACAGGGTCAGCCTGAGACCTAAAAATGAATTTAACTTTGGAGACACAGAGAACTTGGTGAATTTGAGACTTCATCTATATTCCAGAGTCTCAAAAGCTGTTGTCACTAAACGGTATTTTAGAATATTCCACTGCTCAAAGTAAACATGAGCCAAAGAGTAAATCATAGAACCATAAAATCTCACAGTAACAAAGGATGACGTTGCTCCAGCTCTGGCTGTGGGTGCCTGCATGTTTTCCAGCTGGGCTGGCTGTCCTCCTTGCCCAGGGGAAGGCAGTGATGTGAACAAGGTTCCTCCAGGCCAGCAGCAGAGTGCTGTACCTGTTCTGTAGGACTAGTGCTCCTGGAGGGCATCGCTGTGAGCTGCTGCCACGATCCGTGTCCAAGTCCCTCTGCAATCCCAAGTTTCCTATGGGAAGGAGGGTGGCCTGGGCACTCGGTGCTTCTCCCAGAGCAATCACACACCCACTTCTAGTACCTTCCTTTCTGGTGGCAGTTTGGGAGTGCACCGAGAGCAGGGTGAAGCTGGCTGAATTATGCTTGTGGTTGAAATCTCCTTCTGCGTTTTGTAACTAGTGACATTTGAGTCACAGGCCGTGGGAGCAGCAGTGAGCTCTTGGGAAACACACTGGTTAGGCTGTCCCCAGAATTAATTACCTGGCCTGCACAGAGCCCTGGTAGATCCGGGTTGAGTGTGGTCTGTCAGTACGCAGCTCTGGCCTTGGCTTTAAGTAGCTGTCAGGTCTTTTCCTTGGGAGGCAAGGGGCAGGTGCGAGCGTTTGTGTTCATCAGTGCTTAGGTAAGTGTGAGTTAAGGTCTAGTAAATATTATTTAAATCTTACTGTGTAGAAGAAATCCAGTCAAAATATTGCAGGGTGAGTCTGACTGCAGAAATGGAGTCCAACTTGTGTCACCAGAGTACAATACAGAGGTTTTTTGTATTAAGTCTTTGTGAAGAAGTACATTGCAATTGTACACTGGGGGGAAAATAATTTTTAAGGAAGAGGGTTATAGCTGCCCATTCTTCTGTCATGCCTAGCAGTGCAGTCGTTCTGGTTTGGCACCGGTTCTGACATGTGTTTTGGTTGTAGGTAACTCCAGAAGAAATCTCCTATCTGACACGAATTCACTACAAGGCCAAATCTGATGGGATCTGGGGTGAACATGAGATAGACTATATCTTATTTGTCCAGAAGGACGTAACGCTGAATCCTGACCCTAACGAGATCCAAAGCTACTGCTATGTGACACAGAAGGAACTGAAGCAGCTCTTGGACAAAGCCTCCAAGAATGAAGTTAAGATTACGCCGTGGTTTAAACTCATTGCAGAGACCTTTCTTTTTAAGTGGTGGGATAACTTAACTAACTTGAACAAATTTGTTGATCATGAAAAAATACACAGAATGTAAATAGCTGGGGTAAAAGATGCTGGAGGCCAGCAGTGATGTGCTGTCTCATTAACACTGTGGTAACTCATGACTCTCTGAGTGCAAAAAATGGGTCTGCCTGGAGCATGTTTAACAAATAGTTTCATACAAAGATGGTTATAGCCGGTATGTTTCCTTCTCTCTTCACCTCCTTTTCCTCCCAGCCCTGTTCCTCTGGGGTGAGTTAAGCTTGGTCTCATGTGAGGTGGGTAATGGTAATATAAGAAACCCCCTGGGTTCATCTTTTTCTATTCCCTCGTGTGATACAGAAGATCCTCAGCCTGTGTGTGCTCAGTTTGCTCATACTGCCTTGTGTAACTACACACGCTGGTGGGGGAGTTGGGGCTCCTCCTTGTCCAGCTCATCCAGTGGAGCTGGTAGGTTCCCAACTGCACATGACTACAGCTTCTGAAATAGTGGTTACAAAAGAATTGGAGCTCTGCATTGATGCTGAGAAGACTAGTTGCCTGAAGAAAAAAAAACCAATTAATTGAAAGTAATCAGGATTATGTTAATTGCAGAAAGCAAATCTCTTCAGCTCCTGTACTCTATAATTAACCAAACACATAAAAGCTTAAGTAATTGGATTGGCTGTGTGGATTGTTTCACTTTGAAATGCTGCATTATGTGTCATAGCTTTAGATCATAAACATTGAGGGGTTTGTTTGGGGTTTTTTCCCCACTGCCCTTCTCTGGTTAGTTGATGGCAGAGAACTGGACATCTCTCCCTCTCCCTCTTTCTCTAAAAAGGGTTAATTACACCAGATGTAAATGGTAATTACCTAATACGGGAAGTAGCCTGTCTTTGGAGAAGGGATATGCATTAAATGACTCTTCTCCATCTTCCAGAGAACAAAGGCATTGTGATAAAAGTTTTTGGGTTTTGTTTTGTTTTTCCCTGCAACTTCTAATAGTCATTCCCAGAAAACTCCAACCCTTTGAACTTCGTAATTCAAGATTGACAGTTTACAGGCTTACACCAGGTCTTAATTTCAATTAATCAGAAACTGGACCAGAGTGGAAGAGCTGATGCTTCTTGATCCTGCAGTCAATTGCATGTAATGAGAGTAAAATGGAAGGCTTTTTTTAATAAGACAAATAATCAAGGGTATCTCAGTTTGAATTACAGATTTTGGGGTTTTTTTTTTTCCCCCCTCAGCAAGCTTAACTGTGGTTTCTCCTGTTAGCAGACTACTCAGTCTAGATTTCTTAAGGTAACTTCTCCCAGAGGTGTCTTGATGAAATGGGACATTGTTTGTGCCACTTCTCCTTGCATGTAAACCCGGGTTGTAACTAGTCTGTGTCTGGTTTCAAGGTAACACTAAATTTTTCCAGTGGTTAACGTGTTTCTCTTTCTCATCCCAGTTGTGACTGCAGCACTGAAGCTCCTATGTGCCAGCATCTCTAGTGGTGCAACATTTTAAGGGTTTTGGAGCCAAGTTCTTGTGTGTTGACCTGAATTGATGTCTTGTCTTGAAGCAAATAATGGTGGGTGAGAGAACAGTAATGCAGTGTAACGGCTCTCCTGAATTCAGTGCCATCAGCCACGTTACCCGAGTAATATATGAGAGTACTTCTCAAATCCTTCAGACATTTCTTAAATTAAATATTATCTTAAAGAACAGATTACAATTAAAATACCTAAACTAAAACCTCAGACTGTTGTTTTCTTTCCAGACTGAGCCACATGGAGAATAATCTCTGTCATTACTACAAACAACGTCACTGCAGCAGTGTGATGGGGGCAGCTGGGCACGCGTTTCTTTTCACTGAGTTCTACTTTTCTACTTCAAATGGCACGTGCTGCAGCAGAAATAATGTGCATGAGGAAGCTGAAAGGAAGGTTTTGCTAAATGGTTCTTCACAATCCCCTAAAAATTCTGACATTAAAGTTTTTCTTGACATTGAACTTTGCAGCATTACAGGATGTTTTTAATACTGAATTTATTACACAAAGTAGATGAGGGAAACAATATGGATTTACACACAATGCTCCAATATGCTAAAGCTGACATCTGAACACTCTTCTTAAATAGTTTAAAAAAATAATAATTTAAGGATTCTTCCCCCTTACCTTCTTGAGGTTTTGTTTAATGTGCATATTTCATTGGATTATAGTTTAATCTTTAAAATTGTGCATTTTAAGTGTATTGAGTGTTTTGTTCAGGCAGTACATTATAATGCATGATGTTACTAACCTTGAGATAGTTCCTACCTTGTTCTTGGACTGACTAGGGCCAAAAGGGGAATATTTCATATTTGACAGTGTATTTTGCCTTGAACAGGTACAGAATTTTTGTCTATCAGCTTCTAAAGATAAATTATTTCTAAGCAGAAGATGACAGCTGCACAATTTACATAAATTCAGGACAGAATTTCAGTCTGATGCTCATTTTTGACTCAGCTGAAATATCAGAAGTTCTAAGGTGTCACCCTCCCTGCCCATGCTGGTTTAGGTTATTACAGGTGGCAGGTCAGTACTAGCGCTGCAATTCTTCCGCCAGCTTCAGTCACCATTTTGCTTGGTAAACTGGCCATGTCTGTCCTCTTCATTCAGAACTGGTTCAGCACCTGCACACAAGCTCTGCACAGGACTTGTCAGTCTCCTGTTACTTCCCACCAACTTCAGCCCTTACCTGCCACATAAACTCATCACTTGGAATCATAGAATGGTTTGAGTTGGAAGGGACCTTAAAGATCATCCAGTTCCACCCCCCCTGCCAGCAGCAGGGACACCTTCCACTAGACCAGGTTGCTCAA